ATGCTGGTCGTATGCGGGTGGTATGCGGGTGGTATGCGGGTGGTATGCGGGTGGTATGCGGGTCGTATGCGGGTCGTATGCGGGTTTTATGCGGGTCGTATGCGGGTTGTATGCGGCTGCTATGCTGGTGGTATGCGCCTGCTATGCGGCGACCTCCGGCGGCCGTCGCCTGGGGTCGTCGACAGCGGTCGCCGGGCTGCTATGCTGGTGGTATGCGCCTGCTATGCTGGTCTTATGCGCCTGCTATGCGTCTGCTATGCGCCTACTATGCGTCTACTATGCGTCTACTATGCGTCTACTATGCGTCTACTATGCGTCTACTATGCGTCTACTATGCGCCTGCTATGCGCCTGCTATGCGGGTGGTATGCGGCTGCTATGCGTCCGCTATGCGTCCGCTATGCGTCCGCTATGCGGCTGCTATGCGGCTGCTATGCCGGTGTATGCCCGGCTGGTGTATGCCTGGTGGTCGGCCCCCTCTGGAGGGGCCAGCCCCTCGAACATTTTTTGTGACTTCACGCTGAAGAAAAATTGCCGCAGAGAGTTGAGCATGTGCGTGTCCGCGTCGCAGTGAGCTAGCTAGAGACTTGCGTGACTTCGGACAATTCGTAATGTGCGCCCTCCGCATTGCCGTGACGGGCACGGCCGGCCGGCTCGGCGGCTCCATCGCGCGCGCCTGCCGCGCGGCCGGCCAGGAGGTCGCCGCGACGCTGGACCGCGCGCCCGGCGCCGACGTGAGCCACGTCGCGGACCTCTCCGCGGACGGGCGACACACCTGGGCTTCGGCCTTCGAGGGCGTCGACGTCGTGATCCACGCCGCGGCCCTCCCGGGGCCCGCGCGCGAGCCGCCGCCGACCGTCGACGCGTCGCTCGGCGCGGCGCTCGAGGCCGCGGGCGTCATCGGCCTCGAGGACGCGGCGCCGTCCGAGCTCTTCGGGGCGAACGTCGCGTCGACGCTGAACGTCCTCGACGCCGCCGCGCGCGCGGGCGTGCGGCGCGTCGTCCTGAGCTCGAGCGCCTTCGCCATGGGCTGGAGCCACGACGCGCGCGCCTTTTCGCCGGCGCGCCTGCCGCTCCGCGACGGCGACGCGCCGCGGCCGCGCGAGTCCTACGGCCTCTCGAAGGAGGTCGGCGACGCCGTCGGCGCCGCCTACGCGCGCGCCTGCGGCCTCGAGGTCGCGTCGCTCCGCTTCACGAACGTCGTCAAGCGCGACGCCTTCCGGAGCCTGCCCTGGGCCTACGACGCGCGCGCGCCGCTCGTCATGTGGGCCTGGGCCCACGAGGACGACGTCGTCGACGCGCACGTCGCCGCGGCCGCCGCGGACGCGGCCCGGCTCTTCGCGGAAAGCGACGAGGCGACGTACGCGGCGTTCCTCGTCTGCGCGCCGTCGACGCGCTACGCGGAAAGCACCGCGGACCTCCTCGCGGCCCACTTCGCGCCCGCGGCGCCGCCGCGCTTCGAGGGGTCCGGCAACGGCTCCGTGCTCTGCGGCGCGCGCGCGGCGCGCGCGCTCGCGCCCTGGAAGCCGCGCTGCTGGACGGCGCCGCGCCGGGGCCTCGCGTCCGCGGCCGCGCGCGCCGCGGCCGCGGACCCGCGCCTCGAGCGCGTCGACGTCGGCGGCCTCCCGCTCGACGGCGGCGGCGCGCTCCCCGGCGGCGCGACGCTCGCCTACCGCGTCTACGGCGACCGCTCCGGCCCGCGCGTCGCCGTGCACCCGAGCTCCTTCGGCGCCGTCCACGCGGAGCTCGCGTACAACGTGCCGTTGCTGCTCGAGCACGCGGACGCGGTCCTCGTCGCGAACATGCTCGGCAACGGCGTGAGCAGCTCGCCGTCGACCTGCGCCGCCTACCCGCCCGTCGTGACCGTCGACGACCAGGCGCGCGCGCTGCGGCGCGCGTGCGACGCCGCGTTCGGGCCGGGGCGGACCGTCGACGTCGCCTACGGCTACTCCATGGGCGCCATGCAGGCGCTGGCGCTCGCGCGCGGGGGCGGCGTCGCCGCCGTCGTCGCGGTCTGCGGCGCCGCGGGCTGCTCCGACTACAACCGCGTGTTCCTCGACGCGCTCGACGCCGCGCTCGAGGGCGGCGACCGGAGCGCGGCGCTCCGCGCGTTCGCGCTCGTCTACGCGGGCTGGGGCGTCTCCTACGACTTCTACGCGGAGCGGGCCTGGGCGCGCCTGGGGTTCGAGGATCTCGACGACTTCCTCGAGCGGTCCTACGTCGCCGGCTTCGCGACCGACGACCCGGACGACCTGCGGGCGATGCTCGCGTGCTGGCGCGCCGCGGCGGAGCGACCGCCGGGTCTGGAGGCCATCGAGGCGAGGTGCCTGTTCCTGCCCTGCGACACCGACGCGCCACCCGGCGTCCAGCGGTCGCGACGACTTTCGAGAGCATTTGAAAACCACGAAAAAGTCGTCACCGATGCGCCTGGTAGGCGTACTTCCGAGCGGACGAGATCGAGCGGCGCGAGGTCGCGGCCATCCCCGGCGCGACGCTCCGACCCATCCGCTCGCCCTTCGGCCACCGCGCGGGCGACCCGTGGCGCGACGGCATGGACGCGGAGCGGGCCTTCATCCGCGCCGAGGTAGGCGCGTTCTTGGGTAACTCCTAGCACGTGAACTGCACCTTGAATTCAAATTTGCCCCCTCTCAGAGTTCGCGCATGGGCGGAGAGCGGCTGTGCCTCGGCATATAGAGCAGCTGTGCCTTCCTCCGATAGAGTCCGTTCAATGATGGTCGCAATGCTCGCGCTGCTGCGTCAATGCGGCGCTTTCCGCGCGCCTGCGGCGGCGTCGCGCCTCGCTCCAACTCGCCTGCTCTCCGTGTCGCCGCGCATCTACGAGTCGTCGAGCGCCGCGCCGGCGTCGTACGCGCTGCCCGTCTCCGACGCGCTGCTCGCGCGCGTGCCCGAGAGCGTGCGGGCGCGCGACGCGGACGTCGTCGAGGCGTACCTGTTGGACGCGCTCCAGCTGGGCCTCGGCGCGCTCGAGCGAGTGGAGGGCGCTGGCGAGGCGCGGCGCGTCGCGGCGGAGTTCGACAGCCTCGTGTCGCGCCTCGACACCTGGGACGCGCGGCTGCGCGAGCGGCTCGACGCGGCCTTCGCGACGCGCGACGCGCGGACGACGGCGGCGTTGGAGTCCTACCTCGGCTCCAAGGGGCGGCTCGAGGCGACGATCGACGGCTTGCGCGTGAACCTCTCGGACCCGACGCGGTCGACGAGCCTCGTCTCGGCGACGGCGGCCTCCGTGTCCCAAGCCTTGGAGAAGACGACGTCGGACGTGCGCCGGCTCCTCGACTGCGCCGACTCGTCGAGCGAGCTGGGCAAGTTCCTCGCGCAGCAGCGCGAGGTCGTCGCGAGCCAGCGCGGCGTCCAGGCCGCGGCGACGGCCGAGTTCGTCGGCGAGCTGCGGTCCGCGTACAAGGACCTCGACGCGCGCCTCGCGAGGACGCTCGAGGCCGTCGGCGCCGAGGACGTGCGCCGCGCGGACGTGAAGGGCCGCGCCTTCGAGCTCGACGTCTACGACTCGCTGCTCGCGCTCGCGTCCGTCGGCGGCGACGGCGTCGAGGACACGGCCTACGAGGCCGCCGCGGGCAGCCGGTCCAAGGTCGGCGACTCGCTCGTGACGCTCCAGGGCGGCGCGGCCAGGGTCGCCGTCGAGGTCAAGAGCGGCAAGTTCGCCATGGCCGGCGCGACGTCGCTCGAGCGGTCCCTGCGCGACGCCATGGACCTGCGCGGGGCCCAGGCCGCCATCGGCGTCGTCCGCGCGAAGCACCTGGGCAAGCGCATGGGCTGGTACACGGCGCTGCCGGGCAACGTCGTCGTCGTCGCCTTCGAGCCCGACGTGCGTGCCCCCGGCGTCCTTCGCGCGAATCTTTCGTCGAACGCGCGTCGCCCGCAGGTCGAGCACGGCGCCGTCGCGCTCCAGTGCGCGTACAAGGTGCTCCGGGCCCAGGTCCTCGCGGACGCGCTCGCCGCGCGCGACGGCGACGGCGAGGACGCGGCGGCGCTCCGCGCGGACGCGATCCGCCAGCGCGCGCGCGACATCCTCGCGTCCCTGGACCGGCTCCGCCGCATGAAGAAGAATGCCACGGATGCGGGCGGGATGTTGAACGCGCTCCGCGTCGACCTCGACGACCTCGACCGCGAGATCCGCGGCGCGCTCCGCGAGATCGACAGCGACCTCGCCGCGGCACCCTCGGGTTAACATCACCGCACCAAGCCAACATTGAGCCTCGCTTGAAGCGTGTCTGCTGCGGTGGCCATGGTGGCCGGATCCGCGCTCCTCGTGTGCTCCCTGGCGACGCTCGCGTCTTCGTTCGCGCCGATCGTAGCGCCGCGCGCGGCGGCGACGACCGTCGGCGCCGCGCCGCGCTGGGTCGACGGCCCCGGCGACATCGAGGAGGCCGCCCGCGTGTCCAAGTTCACGAGCAACGCCGTGAGCGTGCTCTACTTCTCGGCGCTCGCGTCGACGCACGCGTCGGCGCTGTCGACCTTCGAGCTGCTCGCGGCCGCGCTGCCCCGGTGCGAATTCCTGCTCGCGGAGAAGAACAAGGACAAGGAGTGCTGGGGCGCGTTCGAGCGCTGCGGCGACGTCGAGCTGCCCTGCGTCGAGGTCTTCCACGACGGCGCGTCGGCGGGCGTCGTGGGCGTCGGCGAGATGGCGGGCCTGCTCTCGGACCTGGGCTACAGCCCCGGCGGCGGCGGCGGCGGCGGCGGCCCCGCGTCGCCGTCCGACGGCGCGAAATTCTTCAACATCGCCGAAGACCTCTGGGAGCGCAGCGCCGACTCGCGCAACGACCCCAACTTCCGCGGCAAGGTGCCGCCGCCGTCGAACCGGAAGCAGGAGCGGCAGAACGCGCAGCGGAACCAGCCCCCGAAGGCGCCGCGGACGACCGCGTCCTACTTCCCGGGCGCGGGCATGGGCCAGGCGCCGCCCCCGGGCATGGGCGACACGATCAAGAAACAGCAGGACGCGGAGCGCGCGGGCATGGACGGCCTGCCCCCCGGGGCGCGCGTCGTCGACGGCGACGACGGCGCGAAGAAGTCCCCGAAGCCCAACAAGGCGGGCCAGGCGGCCAAGAAGGAGATCGAGGGCCTCAAGAAGAAGTTCGACCAGATGGCCCGCGACATGGGCAAGGACACGGCCGAGGTCCAGAAGAAGCTGAGCCAGCTCTCGTCCGACGCGAGCGAGCAGGCGTCGCGCGCGGCCGACGAGGCCAAGGCCAAGGCGTCCGGCGGCGAGACGAAGCGCGCGAAGCTCGACCGCCTCTTCGCCATGGACGCCGACTCGTCGGACGCGCCCGCCGACGAGAACCTCAGCGACTTCGAGGCCTTCCTCGAGAACCGGCGCAAGGGCGGCACGGACGCGGACTTCTACGCCAAGCAGAAGGGCGCCGAGGACGAGCCCGGCGCGGGCGACGACGACGACTGGCTCGGGAAGATCAAGTACACGCCGCCCTCGAAATAACCGTCGCTCCGCACCGAGTAGGAGAGCCCGTGATGCCGGCAACGCCGGCGTCGTAGGCTGTCAATGTTGACCTCCCAATTGGAGCGGGCGATGTCGGGCCTGTGAGCACCTCGTCAAGCAACTCGCGTGAGACAGCAGCCACGCTCGCAACGATAACCACGACCACATGGCCGGCCACCAGCGCCCGCTGGGGTTGCAGTGGGGCGCGGCGAGCTGCAGCCCGTCCGACGATTCGGAGGTCGTCGTCGGCAGCCTCGGCGACGGCCTCGGCTCCGTGAACCTGCGCACGGGCGAGCTCGTCGCGTCGTGGCGCGGCGCGGCGGCGGCGCCGGCCGACGCGGCCGTCGTGAGCGTCGCGGCCCTCGGCGGCGGCGCCGTCGCCTGCGGGCGGCGCGACGGGTCGCTCGCGGTGTGCGCCGTCGACGGCGCGACGGGCGCCATCGCCGAGGGCGCCGCCGCGTCGACGGCGACGCCCGGCAAGGCGCTCCACGTCTGCGCCTGGGTCGGCGCCGGGGAGCGCTGGCTCGCCGTCGTCTTCCAGCGCGAGGGCCGCGGGGGCGCCAAGGGCGGCGGCGTCGAGGTCCGGCGGCGGCGCCTGCCCTGGGACGAGAGCGGCGCCTGGGAGAGCGTCGACGACAGGCCCCCCCACGGCTCGGAGCGCGGCGCGGGCCTCTGCGCGCTCGCGTCCGGCGCCGTGCTCGTCTTCGCGGGCCGCTACCATTTGCGCGCGTACGCGCGCGAGCCCGCGGCGTCCGGCAAGCGGAAGCGCGCGGCCTTCGCGCACGCCGAGTGCCAGGAGAACCCCATCGATGTATTGGCGGCCTGCGGCGCGACGGACGTGGCGACGGGCCACCGCGACGGGTCCATCCGCGTCTGGCGCGGCGTCGCGGCCGCGGCCGGCGCCGGCGGCGCTCTATCGGCCTACGGCGTCTACCACTGGCACGCGAGCGCGGTCGGCGCGCTCGACTGCGGCGACCGGGGCGACGTGCTCCTCTCCGGCGGGTCCGAGGCCGTGTTGGTTGTGTGGCAGCTCCGCCGCGACGAGACGGAGGACCGGAGCCGCGACTTCCTGCCCCGTTTGGGAGGCGACGTGTCGCGGTCCGCGCGTGCCGGTCGCCCGCGGTGCTCGGCGGCGCCGACCTGTGCCTCGTCGTCACGAAAGACCGGGCGGCGCACCTCGTCGCCCTCGGCGGGTCGCTCCGGCGGCTCTGGACGCGGAGGAGCGTCGAGACGGCGCCCGACGCGGGGCTCTTCGACCTCGGCCCGCTCGGCGTCGCGTGCAACGGCAAGGACGGCGCGCTTCAAGTCATAGACGAAGCGAGCGACGGCGTGGCGCGGACTTTGGATGTCGTGCCCCACAACCGCACGTCGTCGGCCGCGGCCGCCGCCGTCCGGCGGCCGCGCGTCGTCCTCGCGGCGGCGTCGCGCGACGGCCGCCACGTGGCGACCGTCGACGAGTGGCGGCCGCGCGCCGCGACCGGCGGCCAGGAGCTCAAGTTCTGGGAGGCCGACGGCCGCGGCGGCTTCGCGGCGGCCGCCGTCGTCCGGGGGCCCCACGGCGCGGGCGTCTCCGTCGGCGCCGTCGGCTTCCACCCGCGCCTCGTCTGCTGCGCGACGGCGGCGCCGGACGGGCTCCGCGTCTGGGTCGAGCTCGACGGCGCGGCGGGCCGCTGGACCTGCGCGCTCACCGTGGCCCACTGCGCCGGCCACGGGCCGCCGCGCCAGCTCTGCTGGTCGCCCGACGGCTCCGCGGTCGCGTGCCACCACGACGGCGTGCTCGCGGCCTGGGACCCGGCGTCGGGCGCGCTCCTCGCGACGCTCGGCGCGCCCGACGCCGCCGCGACGGCGCTCGCCGCCGGTTTCCTCACCGCGGCCGACGGCGAGGTGTGCCTGGCCAGCGTCGACGCGACTCAGGTCGCGTGCGACGTCCTCTCCGTCGCCGGCGCCGACGACGCGGCCGCCGACGACGCGGCCGCCGACGACGCCGCGCGCGGCTGGCGCTACAGCGCCAAGGCCAAGGCCGCGGCCGTGTCCGGGGACCGCGTCGTCGTCGCCGTGCCCCTCGAGCCGCCCGCGGCCGCCGTCCTCGTCTTCGCCGCGGACGACGCCGCGCCGCTCTTCGCGTGGGACGTCGTCGCGGTGCCCCGCGCGCTGGCCCTCTCGGGCGCCGGCGGCGTCCTCGCGGCGTTCCCCGACGGCGCCCTGCTCCACCTCGCCACGGAGGCGCCCGCCGCCGCGCCGACGGTCGCCGTCGCGCCGCGCCGCGCGGGCGGCGTGGAGGTCGTCGAGGCCGGCGACGGGCCGTCGTCGCCGAGCGCCGCGCTCGCCTTCGACGCGCTCCTCCGCGTCGACCCGGCGCGCGGCGCCGACCTCGACGCCCCGGACACCGCGTCGGGCGTCTGCGAGCTCCTGCTCGCGGGGGCCTACTACTAATTAATCAAGTCGCAACAGAACGTAGCCCGCCGGCGAGCGTATGCCGCGCTGAGAGGAAATGAAATTGAAAATTACCGCATCCGGATGACCCGACTTGCGGAATAATTGGGAGGGCGCGCGCGCGTCCGTAGAGCATGAAGGAGAAACCATCTCGCCGTGGAAACCTTCCGTATGATAGAGTTTGACGCGCAGCGGCTCCGCCATATTTAATAGTCGCCGCCAAACATTCTTTGCTGGGCCGCCTTCGTGTTCAGTCGCGCTTGTTCACGCTTGAGGCAGTTGATCGAAGTCATCGGCACTTTACTGAAGGGCGTCAGCACGGGCTTGCGATATTTTGCTTTGAGTCGAAGCGCCGCGACGAAGGTGGGAAGATTCGCGTATTTTTCGGGGGCCAGGTTCAGCAAGTAATTCTTCATGAATTTGATCGCGCCAACCTTAAACGACTCGATATCACCATCAATCTCGCGATGCTGGCTATCGCCATCAGGCATGGGCACACGAGGGAATTTTTCCACGGCCGGTCCGCCGCGAAACCGTCGAAACGCGTGACTCTTTGCGGCACTTCCATCTTCAGTTTCTCCTGTATATTCGTACAGCATATCGTCGTCCAGCGCGGTATCAATACTGCAGCCGATGCTCAGCATCTCAAGGGCGTCCCATTGCCGGAACCCATCGCGTCGCACGTTCGCGGCCAGGACAACGACACGGAGCGCGACGCCGATGTCCTCTGGGGCGATGCCGAGTGCCACCGCTGTAGCATCACAGGCGGCTTGGCTGGCTAGCTGTACCGTACCTTCACCCATACCTCCGGCTTCGCCATTCTCAAAATTGAAGTATATCAAATCCTTGCATTCGACAGATTCTTTGTCGTCACTTTCGCTCACGAAGACGGAACTCACCACAAACGACTGGCTGCCCGCGCACCAGCAGCCGGGCTCACAGATGTTCTCTTCGGACACAGAGCAGAGGAAAAGCACGCGCTTCGTGCCGTCGCCGCGGACAGAGATCATGACGGCCGTTTCCCAGCGATCGCTACCCCATCCCATCGGCGGCATGTTGAGCGCGCCGTGGAGATACAAGGACTGTTCGAGTCTGTCGATCAGATCAGCACGCGGCACGTTCCGAAATCGCTGGCCCCAGGCATGACGGAGCGCGGAAAAATAGGCGTCTGCACCCTCGATGCTTTCAATGTCGGCGCGCTCGACGTCGGTGACCTCCTCGTCGTAGTTGATTCCCCAGGAATGCATGTTCGCCGTCCATTTCGGGAGCTGTCGCAGCCAGGCCTCGCGCTCGCGCCACGGCATCTCAGATGGGGGTTGAAAAGGATCCTCGACGTAGCCGTCTCGCTCGAATCTGGCCCAGGCGCGAATGTGCTCCAACGCGTCATGCAGCTTCACGGTTTCTTTGGGATCCCGTGCGCGAATACCGAGGCTCGGATCGCGCTCAAACGTGTAGCTCTGGTCTAACACGTATCGAGACGAATCTCTGTTGCTGGAGTATGAAATGTTGAATCGCGCCGAAGCCATCAAGGCGCGTTCCGCCCATCCGAGAACTCGCGGCGCCGCGTCCCGACCAAGCGCGAGCGCGAGGGTGAGGATGTCGCCCGGACACACCGCGAAACCATCCTCCTCGTCTTGCGGGACGGCCAAGACCACGCCGCCGTTGACGACGACGCCGTACGACCCGAGCGCTTCGATAACAAAGTCGTAGGAGAAGATGGACCGGCCGCTCCGGTGAGTTTTAGGGTCGACGCTCACCGAAGCAAGAGTCTTCGTCGTTTCACTCACCTCCTCGTCGGGTTCCGTTGCTGCCGACATACCGCGCGCTGAGCGTGGATTCGCTCGTCTTGCCACAAAGTCGGCGTGACCCCGCCTCAGTTCCTCCCGGCCCCCCCTACGTTTAGAGACGCATCACGCTCGGCGGGGATCAGCGCGTCAAACGCCAAACAAGGCCTCAAAAAGACGAGTCCGTCAAAGATGCCACCACTATTAAGCTGGATCGGCGAGTCGCAGCACGAAGGGCGCGTTGTTCCGCATCCCCCCAGTCCCGGCCATGGACCCCAACCCCAACAACACGCCCGGCTCGAGCTCCCGGAGCTCGTCGCGCATGCGGAGCGTCGTCCCCCAGAGGCGATCGCCGGCCGCCGCGTAATTCAGGACCAGCGCCGGCTTCCCGTCGAGGCGCGAGGCCTCGACGGCGTAGCGGAACGGCCGCCCGGCGACGCCGCCGGCGAAGCGGTTCGCGCCGTCGCCGTCCGGTCCGAAGGCCTTGCCGAGCCACCTGCCGCCGCCGACCGTAAACAGCCGGTTCGTGATGAACCCGTTCAGCGGCGCGGCCGTGCCGAGGAATTCCAATTCTCCGTCCCATTCGCCGTCGACCGTCTCCGGCGGCGCCAGCGCCTTCCACGTCGACACGAACTCGGCCTTCGTCGTCCAGCTCGACCGCCGCTCCGGCGCGAGGCGCCCGTTCTGCAGCACGTTCGCGAGGGAGAGCCCGCCGAGGACCGCGGCGGCGCCGACGGCCGCGGGCCGCGCGAGGGGCAGCCACGCCGCGTCCGGCGCCGCGGCGGCGACGACGGCCGGCGGCGGCGGCTTCGCGCCGGGTCCGCCCCGCGGCCGCGGCGGCGGCGCGACGAAGCCCGCGCGGCCGAATTTCGGCGACGGCCCGAAGCTCAGGCGCGCGACCGCGCGGCCCGCGGCGTTCGGCAGCGCCTCCGTCGCGAGCGCGTAGGCGCGGTTCGCGAGGCCCGGCACGACCTCGCGACCGGTTCGCGAAAACGCCGCGCGCGCGACGTCGTCGGGCGCGGAGACGACGCCGAGCGCGCGCGCGCCGGGGACCTTGAAGACGAGCGCGTCGTCCATGCCCGCGCGGCCCGCGAACTGCGTGTCGACGGCGCCGGGGAGGAGCACGGTGACGCGGACGCCCGCGGCCGCGAGCTCGTCGTGGAGCGCGTTGCCGAAGGACCGCAGGAACGCCTTCGTCGCCGCGTACGCCGCCGACCCCGCGCAGCCGTGCGCGGGCACGCCCACGAGGCTCGCCGTGATGACGACGCGCCCGGCGCCGCGCGCCCGGAGGTCGCGGCCGAAGCGGTGGCAGAGGTCCACGGTCGACGCGACGTTGAGGGCCACCAGGGACTCGACGCGTTCGAGGTCGTCGTCGAGGAACGCGCCCGTCCGCGCCGCGCCGGCGTTGGCGAGGAGCAGCGCCACGTCGAGGCCCCGGCACGCGCCGTGGAGCTTCTTCGCGCCGGAAGGGGTGGCTAGATCCACCACGACGACGCGCCACGTCGCGTCGGGACCGAGGCCCTCGCCGACGCGCCGCAGCGCCGCCCGGTCGCGCCCGTGGAGCACGACGCCGTAGCCCGCGGCCGCCGCGCGCTGCGCGAGTGCGGCACCGATGCCCGAGGACGCGCCGGTGACGACGGCCCACTCCTGCGATGCAGCGACCGCTGCGGCTGCGCAAACTAGCAGTTGCCGCAAGCCCATGCCTGCCTCTTTTAGCTCGCTGAACAGCTCTTTCCCTGCAACACGCTGTCGCGACCGCTAATCACATCCCGTGCCAACCACGAGCCAGGGCTCGACACGAGACAATCGCGCTTCGCTAGCACTTAAGTTCCATCCTCGACGCTGCCGTCTATATCGCTGCCGCTGTCGTCTTCATCTCCATTCGATCCACCGTCTTCCTCAGAGGCAGTGGTCCAGGAATCCTCCGAGTCGTCTTCAGAATCACTAGTTTCTGCTTGGGTGTTCTTCACTGCGCCGACAGGGGCGTCAAGTATTGCCCTTTGGAGAGATGGTTCAAGTTCCTCCCACGACTCACGTGTCCCGACGACCGACGTCGACGATGTAACAAGGCGATACCACGGCTCCCGTACGTCGTGCTCCTCCCGCAAGTCCAACGTGAACGTCACGAATGGAATAATCGGCTTTCTTCTGAACTTGAGAAGGTCGATTAGTCGGAAGGTTGGACCGATCATATCTTCGCCAATTTCATCGATGCTGTCCAGATTGAGTGGTAGACCATATCCGTTCAACAAATCACGAAGCGGCGAGCCAGGTCTGAAGCCCTGTCGGCTCAACCGCGGGCGCATCGGATCGAACAAAACACTCTCGGAGGTGTATGACCAGGCCGCGCAAATCAGGCCGTTAAGCGTCGTATCGTAGTCTGTTTGGTGCAGCACGATATGTTGATCATTGGCATCGCCGATCATGCCACCTTCGATATCACCCATATTCAAATACCGGAGTTGGACCATCGTCGAGAATTCGGCGGCGCGCTCGGCAACAGAGGTAGACAGTGGCACGAGGCATGATCCATCAGTCAGCGCTGCAGCGGTACGCTCGTCGACTTGGATGATCCCGGGTTTCTCGCCCTCGGATTCGCGAATCACCACTTCTTTCATCTGTCGCCCTAGCCGCACGCCGAGGCATCGGACGCCCGGTTCGATGCGAAGTACGCTCGTGCGCCGGAATACCTTCCGCCAGTGCTGCGTGGTGTTGGCGGGCGCGGGACCAAAATAGAGACCGAACAAGCGCCGCCAAGCGGGTTCATCGTCGAGGCGCATCATGTCGCGCGAGTTCTTGCAGCAGCTCTCCATGCGGAGCACTGCTTCGACCGGAGCGAAGGCAATTATTTGGTTCCGCACGTCGCGGGGAAGGGCGTTCGGGTCGAACAAGTAATGGCGCTGAGAAGCGGCGCCCCGCGCTCGCCTCGCCAGTCCCGCGAGCCTGCGGATGAGTGTTCGCAGAGCCCCGTGGTCCGATACTCTCTCGCCGTTGGCAAGCCGGGCCTCAAGAGATGCGGCGGCGTCCTCGAGAGGGCGGAGGATGCTGCCCGCCGCCGACTCCATGCCGGCTGCTTGCGGGTTTTAATGGAAAGCGTTGGCTTCAACCAAAAGCACAGCCCTGCACAGGGCTGTGCAGGCAGGGCGCATGGAGATCGCGTAGCTGCTCCATGCGATTGCTCACATGCGTGCTCGCGACGGCTGCCGCCTGGGACTCGCTCGAGTGGCTCGGCGGCGGCTTCCGAGGGCCGTCCTGCGCCGACAAGCGCTGGGTCGCGCTCTTCAACGAGACGCAGACGCGCATGCTCGCCGGCGTCATCGGTCCGCGCTTCGTCGTCGTGACGCCGCACAGCAAGGCGGGCCTCGGCAACCGCCTGCGGGCCGTGCGCGCGGGGCTCGCGCTGGCGGCTCTGACGAAGCGGTGCCTCGTGCTCGACTACTCGAGCCTCGACCCCGAGAACCGCGGCCGCCGCGCGGGAGAGTCGCGGTGGCTCGACGGCACGGAGCTCGACGTGCTCGCGCCGAACCTCGTGCGCTGGGACGCGGCGCGAACCCTCTACGAGGCGACGGCGAAGGTGCGGGGACGGGACGCCTGGACGCTGCCCATGAACGGCAAGGGCCTCGACGGCGGGAAGCTGCTCGCGTACAACGGCCTCGCGATGGTCGTCGCGGCCTGGAACCACGACCCGACGGCGAAGCTGCTGCGCGCGCCGGCGGTCCGGAGCGCCGCGGCGGCCGCGGGACTGGCGGACGACGACGGGGCGTCGCGCGGCTGCGCGCTCCGCGCGCTCTTCGCGCCGACGCCGGCGCTCGCGGCCGCGCTCGCGGCCGCGCGGGCGTCGCTGGGGCCCGGCGCGACCCTCGACGCCGCGGTGCACCTGCGCACGAACATCGAGTACGACCGGGGCTGGGGCCGCATGACCTGCCGCGACGTCGGCTGCTGGACGGACGTCGCCGCGGTCTTCTCGCGCTGCGCGCGCGCGCTCGCGCGCACCGCGACGACGCTCCTCGTCGCCGCCGACGACGACGGCCTCGTCGACGCGGCGCGCGCGCGCGCGCGCGCCGACTTCGGGGCCGCCGTCGCGCTGCCGGGCCGCGTCCGCCACCACAGCGGCATCTCGCGGGCGGAGAAGCAGCTCGCGCTCGAGGCGAGCCAGAGCCACGTCCTCGGCCACGGCGACGTGCTCGGCCCGCTGCTCGACATGCTGCTCATCGCGTCGGCGGACGCCTTCGTGGGCACGGCGGGCTCGTCCTTTTCGGAGCAGGCGCGCGACTGGGGCGGCTTCGGCGGCGACCGGAAGGCCGTCCTCTTCACGACGCCCTACGTCAAGAGCTACCAGGGCGACGCGGACAGCGCGCCCCTGCCGGCGACGCCGGCGGAGGCCGAACTTGCCTGTCGTAAGGTGACCTGACCGGTACCGGTGGTTTCGAAAAAACTAACATTAAAGTTGACGCGAAGTTCACGCGGGTCACCGCAGCGCCGGTGAGGGGTGGGGGAAAAGATAAGGTCGTGGTCGTGAAATTGGGGTCGGAGGGGGCGGTCGACGCCGGAGGCCGCGGAGTTACCCGCTCTTGCCCTTCTTCTTCGAGCTCATGGCGTCGTCGTCGCCGGCGGCGACGACGCTGCCGTCGTCCGCCGACGCGCCGTCGTCCGCCGCCGCCGCGTCGTCGTCGTCCTCGTCCGCGGAGGACACGGTGCACATCTTGCGGCAGTTCTTCGAGTCGGTGATGTCGGAGACGAGGTTCCCCTTCTTCGAGAAGTCGTCGGCGAGCTCGTCGACGATGGCCGTGAGGGACGCGAGGTTGAACCAGTACTGGTCCTCGTCGCCGTTCTTCACGCACGAGTTCTGGTCGACCGTCGTCGCGGGGCAGAGGCATGTGACGTCGCACTTTTTGTTCCACGAGTCGTCGAAGGAGCAGGGCGCGCCCATGCAGGACGTGTCCTCGGCGAGGCCGCCGAGCTTGCGCCGAGACGCCGCGTCGTCGCCGCCGCCGGCCGCGGCGGCGTCGTCGTCGCCCGCGGCCGCGGCGTCGTCGCCGGCGTCGTCGCCGTCGTCGTCCGACGCCGTGACGAGCGACAGCGAGCCGTACTGCGTGTCGTAGCCCGCCTCCTTGTAGAGCGTGCCGTCCGTGAGGGCGTCGCAGATGAGCGTGCGCGCCTTCTCGTCGCGGCCGTCGGCGACGGCCTGCACCGCGCGGCGGTACGTCTTCGACCCGATCAAGAGGGCCGTGGTCTTGTCGATCTGGAAGGAGCCCTTGCGGCCGCGGTAGATCTTGCAGCCGCAGGCCGCCGTGTCGTTGGTCAGGGACACGCAGGCCGCGTTGTGGCAATAGGCGAAGGTCTGGTCCCGGCACTCGACCGTCGCCGACACTCCCTCGTCGATCAAAAGGCGCGCGATCTTCTTCTTCGAGTCGACGGACCGAAGGTTCATGAACTGGCCCTCCCCATCGGTGGACCGAAGCACGGCGACCGTCGCACTGAGCACGGCGCAGGCGCCAAGGGCCAGAGCGACGAACCGAGCACTGCGCTCCATCTTGTGTTGTAGAAGCTGAGCCACCTGAAAAAAGGCAGTATCTCCTGGATATCCAGGGTTGCGTGGCCAGGAAAGCGCGCCGACGATGCAGAGAGAGCACGAGACGTGCGTGCGAGAGATGAAGTTGAATTGCGTGGTTTTAATTAGAGCGCGCCCGTCTTCGGCCCAGCAGACCTCCCAGCCGGCGGCGGCGCATCCGGCCGACCGCCGCCGGCACGGCGACGCCCGCTTCGAGCCTCGCGCCCTCCCCGTGTATGCGCCGGTCTTAGGCCCCCGGCCCTCCTAGGACGCCTCGACGTCGATGCCGTCGGTCTCGCTGGAGAGCGCGTCGTTGAGGGAGCCGACGACGTCGAGCTCGTCCTCCTCGTCGAGGACGTCGTCGTCATCGTCGTCGTCGTCGTCGTCGTCGTCGTCGTCGTCGTCGTCGAGGTCGTCGTCGTCGTCCGCGTCCGGCGCGCCGCCGGCGGCCTTGTCCGCGGCGAGCGCGGCGGCCTTGAGCTCGGCCTTGCGCGCGTCGTCAGCGTCGAGGCGCTCGACGTAGTCGGCCTTGCGGCGGCCCGACACGGGGAGGCCCCGGTCCCGGAGGAAGTCCTTGAGGAGCTTGACCGTGTACTTGGTGTAGTCCGTGACCTCGCCCTCGACGGGCATCGCCAAGGGCTGCTTCTTCGCCTTGGGCGCGGCGGCCTTCCGCCGCCGCTTCGTCGACGGGTTCAGCTCCTCGAGGGTCAGGCGGAGGCACGGCGGCAGGCGGTCGTCGTACTCGGGCTCGCCCGCCTCGAAGACGGGCGGCAGCCACTGGAAGCCCATGAGGTCGAGGAACCGCTTCCGCTCCCCAAAGTGCGCGTCGAAGGTGCGTTGCTGGTCCCGGACCTCGTTGACCCAGCGCCCGAGGGGCGATGCCCGCAGGGGGAAGGGCCAGGGGTCCTCGTCGGGCACGACGAAGTCCCAGTCGACGTTCACCGTGCCCTTGATCTTCGAGTGGCTGAAGAGGCACGCGAGGAACGCGTCCCACTGGAGCCCCTCGACGTAGACGTCGCGGTCGCCCCAGTCGAAGCCCAGCCCGTCGAGCGCCGCCCGCCGCGCCGGGTCGTCCCAGGCCGCGACGTCGCCGACGCGGAGCGCCTCGACGACGGCGCCGAGGCCTAAACCCCGGCACCGCTCGGGCCACGGCGCGCCGCCGTCGAGGCCGCCGAAGCGCTCCTCGGCCTCCAACGCCTCCAGGTCCGCCAGGCTCGGCTCGTCGCCCGCGGCCAGCAGCAGCGCCTCGACGGTCTCGAGCGTCTCCGCCGACGGCGCGTCGAGCGCGCCGACGAGGTCCGCGTCCGCCGCGTCCTCGCCGCCCTTGGCGTCCTTCGCCGACGACGACAGGAACGCCGCGAGGGCCGCGTCCAGGTTCTCCGCCTCCTCGGACTCGGCGTCGCCCTCGCCCTCCGCGGCCTCGGCGACGTCCGGCACGACGAAGTCCAAAGGCACGGAAAAGTCGCCGTAGCGCGCCGCGTACTCGCGGAGCGCGTCGACGACGTCCGCAAAGTCGTAGCCGCCGTCGAACTCGTCGAAGGCGAAGCCGTCGCGCAGGCACCGCTCCAGGTCCGCCGCGGGCACGAGCGTCTCGTCGAGGAAGTCGCACGACAGCGGCACGACGCGCTTGCCCACGTCCTCCTCCTCGACCTCCTCGACGGCGCCCCAGGCGTCGCCGTTGCTCAACAGCACGGCGTCGAGGATGGACCCGGACCGCTCGGGCTCCGCCTCGACGTTGAGCTGGAGGCCCAGATCCAGCAGCCGCTGGCGCCGCTCCGGGTGCCGCTTGAGGAACGTGCCGTGGGACCGGATGGCGTTCACGCGGCTCCCGAGCTTCATCTCCCAGGCGTCCTCGGGCCAGGGCGCCTCACTGGGCACGACGAAGGTCTGGGGCACGTTCACGTGGCCCTTCTCGGCCTTGTAGGCCGACAGCGCCTCGTAGACGATCTCGAAGCGCCGCGTCGTCGACGACTTCGCGCCCGCGACCTTGGGCGCCGCCGCCGGCGCCTCGGGCTCCGCGGGCCTCCGCATGACGCCGAGGCGCGCGAGCTCCGCGACGCGCTTCGCGATCGTCTCCTCGCCGACCGTCGCCGCGTCGAAGTAGGGCACGTCCGACTCCTTGATCGTCTGGAGCCGCGACCCCAGCGGCAGACCCCGGCAGGCCGGCGGCCAGGGGTCCACGCGGGGCACGACGAAGTTCGCGCTCATGGACACGCTCCCGTCGTGGAGCTCCTTGTAGCTCTCGAGCGCCTCCATGAGCACCTCGAAGGGCTCGAGCGGCTCGTTCGCGGCCGACGACGCGCTCGACGGCCGCCGGAGGCGCCACTCGAAGCCCAGCGCGTCGAGCTTCTGCCGCCGGCCCTCGTCGGCGACGTAGCGGCCCGTCGCCCGGATGCTCGCGACGCGCTGCCCGAGCTTGAGGCCCCGGCACTTCTCGGGGAAGCCCGTCCCGTCCTCCTCGGGCACGCAGAACCGCGTCGGCACGCGCAGGTCCCCGTTCGTCGCCTTGTACCTGGGCGATGGCGGGTGCGGCGCGGCGGGGGAGGGGGGGTCCGGGCGGCGCGCGAGTTGCGGCCGCGGAAGAGTTCGCGCGGGGGGGGACGCGGCCGCGCGCGCTTCGAGCGCGCAGAGGAGCGTGTCCCACTCCGCGGCGTCCTTGGGCAGGTCGTCGCCCTGCGTCTCCTGCTCGGACCCGGCGTCCTCGACGACGTCCGTCGCCATGCTCGACACGACGACGCCGCGGGCGTCGGCGCGGGCGGCGGGCCACCGGCAGGCGCCCCGCGGCGGCGCCGCGCGGTACGAGAGCTGCAGCGGCTCCGCCGGCATCAGCATCAGCGCAACGATTGCGCACGCGCGCGCCATCATTAGTTCAGGCGTTGAGGACCTCTTCAGGCGTCCATGCCCTGTGTCGCCGCTTGTCTCGAGGCGCGCGGCCTTCAACGCCAAGCAGCCGAGGCGGCCTTCAACACTGCCCCCGCGCCGGCACCACGTCCTCTGATGCACAACTTACGCCTCGAGCAGACTCCGGAGCGGTCGCCTCGGCGTCGGGGTTTTGCGGAGCGTGGAGAGCGGCGACTCCGTCACGGCGGTCGTGAAGAGGAGGTCGCAGCGCACGGTCACGGCGGTTTGACCGGCGGCGGCGAAGCCCGCGCTGCCCCAGCTCGTGCGGACGCCGGGCGCCGCGCGCCGGCCGAAGACGACGACGTCGCTGCGCCAGGCCTCCGCCGGGCCGCCGCGCTCGTCGCTGAGGATCGAGAGGCGGAATTTCAAGGGCACGCGGTCGCCGCGGCCCAGGTAGCGGAGGAAGACGGCGACCGCGGCGCCGCGCGGCTCCACCTCCAACTCGAAGCGCTCGCCGCCGCGGCAGAAGGCGTCGCTGCGCCCGCGCGTCGCCGTCCAGACGAAGGGCTGCTGCCAGCGCTCGCTCGCGGGCGCCCAGGTGGGATCTTTCGCGCCGCCCTTGGCGAAGAGGAAGCTCAGCGGATTCTCGCGTCGGCGCTTGGGCCGCTGCTGCGCCGCGCGCGCGCTGGAGCGCTGCCGGTCGCCGGCTTCGTCCGGAGCGCGCTGGAGCGGGCACTCGACGAGTGCGGCCATGGCCCCCTTTCGCAAAATTTTCAACGAGGTGTTGCAAGTTGTAGCCGGAATGCAAACCACTCCATCATCCAACGTTTGGGCAGCCCACGCTTTCAAAGCCTAGGGCAACTGCGGCGTCGTTCGGGGGGGGCAGCGTCGCGCCGCGGCACGCGCAAACCCACAACCGCAAGCGCCAGCACCGCAACAACAGCAACGCGCCTCGCACCGTCACACGCAAGCCGCAGCTACCGCGAGCGACGCTGTTCCAAAACGAAGAAGTAAGTGAAGAAGCGAATCATGGACGACGACGACGACGAGGACCCGTACAACTTCGACCTCGCCGGGGACGACGACCTCGGCTACGGCGACGACGACAGCGCGAGCATGAGCTACTCGCCCGCGCGGCGCGCGCCGGCCGCGCGGCCCGCGCCGGAGTCGAAGAAGGCGCCCGTCGGGCGGGGCGCGCGGCCGGCGTCGACGGCCGAGGCGCCCGCCAAGGGCGGCGGCTCGTCGGCGAGCGACATCCTCGCCAAGGCGTCGGCGATGCTGAGCAAGAAGCCCGCGAGCTACGGCGGCGGCCGCCGCGCGGCCGAGAAGGAGTCGACCGTCGACGACATTTTAGCGGGCCTGAGCTCCGACGGCGACGAGAGCGAGGCGTCGCGGCCCCGCGGGCTCACGCGCCAAACCTCCACGCTCGGCCGCGGCGCCGCGCCGCGCGCGGGGTCGCGGTCCTTCGACCTCGGGTCCCTCGGCGGGAGCGACTCGAACGACCAGTCGCAGTCGTTCGACCAGGGGTCCCTCGACAAGCCGCGGCCGACGATCTCGCCGTCGCCCGAGGCGGACCGGCGCCGGCTGCGCGACGAGACGCGAATAGGCCGGGGCCTCGGCGACATGCCCAAGCTGGGGCTCGCGCGGAAGAGCGTCTACGGCGACGTCCGCACCGCGAGCGGCCTCGGCGCGCCGGACCCGGCGCGCTCGCCGGACCCGGAGCCCGCGGCCCGCGAGGGCGGCACGCGCTGGCGCGAACTGGAGGACGCGCCCCTCACGGCGACGACCAAGGGCGACCTGAGCAGCAGCCGCCGCGGCACCGTGCGGTCCAGGGCAGCAAAAGAGAGCGAAATTCCCAACTTCAAAGGCTCCTATCTCGGCCATGTTCCACTCGTTTCGGCTAATTTTTGGACGAGCGATCATCTCTCGGAACGGCCTCGAAGCGTGGATGCTTTTTTTGGAACGCGCGCGCGCGAAAAACTCACATTGAAGCGACGTTGACTCTCTCTTTTGCTGCCCAGGTGCGGTCCATCAACGACCTCAACGACGCGCGCGCGGAGGAGCGCGCCGGCGCGCCGCCGACGCGCGACAGCGAGTCGACCTTCGACTTCGGGGGCCGCGGCGACGACGTCGACGAAGCAGACGACGACGACCTCGCCGGCGACCTCGGCGGCGGCGGTGCGCTCGAGGCCGCCGCGGAGCGCGCGTTGCTCCGGTCGCCCGAGGGTTTAGGAGCGGCGTCGGCCCTGCCGCGGCGCGCCGTCGAGAACTCGTCGCCGCCCCGGGGGAAGCCCGCGGAGCGGCCCGGCAAGCCGGGCGCGGCGCGGCGCACCGTGTCCTTCGACGGCGACGGCGCGCCGAGCTCCGACGCGGCGCCGCTACACTCCTCCGGCGGCAGCCCCGGCGGCGCCCTCGAGGAGTCGCTGGCGGAGGACGACAGCGACGGCGACCGCACGGTGGGCCAGCGCGACGCCGCCGGCTCGTCCGACTCCGGCGAGAACTACGAGGGCGAGTCCGTCGCCGACGACGACGACGCCGCGCCCAATGCGCCGAACGTGCGGTCCTTCTCCGACCTCGCCGCCGTCGCCGCGCCCGAGTCTTCGGACGGCGACGACGACGCCGAGGAGTACAGCGACGAGTTCGGCAACGAGAGCCCCGCGTCGCGGTCGCCGCGGTCCGGGCCCGAGCCGCCGCGCGGCGCCGCGCCGCTCGGCCCGCCGGCGGCGGCGGGCCCGCCGCCGGCGCGACTCGCGACGCCGCCGTCGAGCGTCGCCGCGCGGGCCACGGCCGGCGCCGTCGTCCGCTCCTTCGACGACCTCGCGCTCGCTGTTGCTGATGAGCCTGTGCTGGCTGCTGCACCCACACCCACAGCCGCGCCGGACCCCGCCGCCGACGCCAAGGTCGACGAACACACGGCGCGGGAGCTGCGGCGCGAGGCGAAGCACGCGCGCGCCGCGCGCGAGGCCGCGGGCCGCAACGCGGACCTCACGGACTCCGAGGACAACGAGCGCGGCGACGAACGACCGCCGGCGGCGGCGGCGAAGACGCGCAGGGTCCGGAGCCACGCGGGCCACGTCTTCTTCACCGTGCGCCTCGGCCTGCTGGCCATCGAGCACCTCGACGGCACCGCGCGCGACGTCTTCGTCGCCGACGTCGCGGCGGCGCTCGGCGTGTCGCGGCGGAGCGTCGACATCGTCGGCGCGCGCGAGTCGCTCGCGGGCGACGGCTCCGTGCTCGAGGCGCGCGTCGCCGTGCGCGGCGGCGCGGACGCGCGGGCGCTCGGCGCGGCCATCGCGCGGTGCCCGCGGCTCCTCGTGCCGCGCGCGGCGCCCGACTTTCGGATGGCGTCCTACGTGGGCTGCGTGCGCGTCCGCGGCGACGACGGCGAGGTCCACTTCGACTTCGCCGAGGGCGCGGCGCCGCGCGCGGCGACGGCCGACGCGGGCGCGCCGCGCGCGCGCGTGACGACGCACGACGCGGCGACGGGCGACGCGGACGAGGACGAGCTCCGCGCGCGGCCCGACGGCGAACTCGCGGGCTTCGCGCGGTGCCGCGAGGTCGCGACGCAGTTCAGCGGCAACCACGCGGGCATCCAGGCGGACCTGCGGCCGCCGGGCCTGGCGGGGACGGCGGCCTACGTGCCGCTCCTCGCGGCCGCGCCCCGCGAGGCACCGCCCGCGCTCCCCTTCGACGCGTCCGCCGCGCCGCCGCGGTCGCCGACGTTCCTCATCGACAACGCGGCGTCGCTCGCGCACGCGGACGACGCGACGCTGGCGAACATCGCGCGCGCGTACGTCGCGCAGGCTTCCGCCGCGCGCGACGCGCGCCGGGCCGCGCCGCGGCCGCCGCCGCCGGGGCCCCTCTTCGGCTCCTACCCGCCGCCGCCGCCGACCTTCGCGGCCTACCGCCCGCCGCCCGCGCCGCTCCCGGCGCCCGCGCCGCCGCCGGACGTCGCCAAGACGCCGCGGACGCGCGACGACGCCGCGGAGAAGGAGAACGCGCCGGCGCCGCCGCCGAACGAGAGCGAGCCGCCGGCGGACGGCGCGCCCGCGGCCGCGCCGCCGCGGCCGCCGACGCCGCCGCGGCCGCCGACGCCGCCGCGGCCCGACGCCGCGGCGCCGCCGCCGCCCGCGCCCTACGGCCACGGCCCCTACGGGCCGCCGCCGCCGCCGCCGCCCTACGGCTACGGCTACGCGCACCCGCCCTACGGCTACCACCCCTACGGTCCGCCGCCGCCCTACGGCTACGCGCCCTACGGCTACGCGCCGCCCTACGGCGCGCCGCCGCCGCCCGGCGCGTACGCGCCGCCGCCGCCGCAGCGGCGGCCCGAGACGCCCGGCCCGGCGCCGCCCGGCGGCCACCGCGCGGCCGCGGCCGACCCGGAGGCCGAGCGGCTCCGCGCGCAGCTCTTCTCGCTCGCGGACCAGCACCTCGCGGAGCTCCACGCGGAGCGCGCCGCGGGCACGACGGCGCTCAACGCGCCCGACGCGGCGCTGCCGCAGATGCTCGCGGCCCAGGCGGACCTGAGCCGCCAGCTCGAGGGCCTGAGGGCCAAGCTCGCGGAGTCGCGCGCGACGTACGACGCCGCGCGCGCGCGGCCGCCGAGCACCGAGGCGCACCACACGCTCGCGGCGACGCAGGAGTACATCGACACGCACCGGCCGGCGCCGCTGCCCTACTGGAAGGCCTACATGAGCGTCGACGCGTCCCTCACCGAGGAGGAGGCGCGCCAGCTCGCCTTCGACGACGTCAAGCACAAGCGCGGCGCCGCCGCGCCCGTCTCCGCCGTCGCCGCGACGACCGCGTCCGCCGCCGCGGGGCCCGACGGCCCGGACGGCGGCGTCGGCGAGGCGAAGGAGGGCTAAGTGCCGGCCTCCAAAGGCATGTTGAATAGAAGTTGAACTTCGTTGATAAAAACCACAATCGTCTCCCGAGCTCTCGACCGCAGCGCGAAGAGCGCGAGCGTCGCGCGCCAAGCTCACAATGGCTCCTCTCCGCCACTTCATCACGGGCGACTTCGAGAAGCGCACGGTGTTCCTGCCGGACAAGGAGTACGGCCTCGCGCTCGACGCCCTCGTCAAGGGCTGCGCCGACGTGCTCATCACGTCCGGCGCGGGCCCGTCGCTGCGCATCCTGCTGGGCAAGCGCCGCGTGGAGCCCCAGCCGGACTGGTGGTTCGTCGGCGGGCGCACGCGGCCCGGCGACACGCCCGCCGAGGGCGCGGCGCGCAACGTGAAGCGCGAGCTCGGGCTCGCGCTCGACCCGGCCCGCTTCGCGGCCGTCGGGACCTACAGCTTCGTCTGGCGCCTCCGCGCGCAGGCGCCCGCGACGAACGGCACCGCGGACGTCTCCACGGTCTTCGAGCTCCACCTCGCCGACGACGAGGCGGCGGACCTGTCGCCGGCGCGCTTCGACGCCGAGGAGTACGCCGACGCCGCCTGGACGCGGCCCGACGCCGTGCTCGCCGGCGACTACCACCCGGCCCTGCAGCAGGCCGTCCGCGACCTCCTCGCGCGCCGCGCCTACGGGGCCCTGCGCGACGCGGCCGCCGACGCGAGCGCGGGCGCGGGCGCCGTCGCGGCCGCCGCGACGGCCTACGTCGCCTGGCGCGAGTCCGCGCCGACGGACGGGTGCAAGGTCCGCTTCGAGGACGGCGCGTACGTCTTCGTGGACCCGGCGACGGGCGCCGCCGCGCCGCGGCCGGCGACGGGCGCCGCCTACTGGGCGCGCTGGAAGCTCCTCGCGGACGCGCGGGGCGCCGCCGCCCCGCGCTGGGGCCTCGCGGTCCTCGGGCTCGCGGCGTTCGTCGCGGGGCGCTACTCCGCTCGCGGCTAAACTTGCGTTACCCCGCCTCGTCGGGGGCCGGCGGTTCCGGGGGCGGCGGCTCGGAGACGGGGATGGCGACGGCCTTCTTCTTCTTCTTCTTCTTCTTCTTCGGCGCGGCGGCCTCGGCCGCGGCGATGGCCGCCTGCTCCTTCTGGTACGTCTGCCACTCCTTGAACGTGAGGTTGTGGTTCTTCTCCGCCTTGAGGAGCGTCGCCTCGCGGCGCACCGTGTCGTCGCACTCCTCCGGGTCGATGAGGCGCCCGCCCATGAGCGCCGCGACGCACTTGAGCGCCTGGTACGTGATCTCGTGGCCCCCGCGGCACTTGCGCAGGTCGACGCGGTGGCAGCCGGCGCGCTTCACCGTGACGCGGCAGCACTGCGCGACGATGAAGGGCACCATGGCGTCCTCGTCGCCGTGCGCTAACAGCACGGGCACCTGGCGCGCCTTCTCGCGGAGCTTGTGCTTCGGGAGGAAGAGCGACGCCGGCGAGAGGAGGACGCAGCCGCCGGGCGTGCCCCGGACCTCGGGCCCGAGAGACTTGAGCGCCTCGAAGGCGAGCGTCGCGCCCTGGTCGAAGCCGCCGAACCAGACCTTGTCCGGCGGGAGCTGCGTCATGTCGGACACGCCCTGGAACATGTCGACGAGGGCGTCCCGCGCCGTCTCGACCTCGGGCGGGTGGTGGGGCTCCTGCTCCTTCGTCAGGCCCCGCTTGATGATCATGTCCTCGCCGAAGTAGATCTGCTGCGTCAGCGACGCTTTGATTTTCTCGAACTCGCCGGCCTCGCCGGCCTTGGGCGGCGGCGGCGGCGGCCACCACGATCGAAGCGTCTGGCCGTCGACGTCGCCGCCGACGTAGGGCGCGTCCGGGAGGAAGACGGCCGTGTCGGAGCCGAGGCCGTGCTCGACGATCAAAGACCACGCGACCTTGAGCAGCTCGTTGGAGTTGGAAGCGGCGCCGTGGCAGAGCACGAGCGCGCGGATGGGCTGCTTGGAGACGGCGACGATCTTGCAGGCGAGGCCGCCGACCTCGCCCTCGCGGATGCGCACGCCCGCGCCGAGGTCCTCCTCCCGCAGCACGAGCGCCGTCGCCGCGAGCCTGACCAGCGCGCGCTGCTCGCTCGGCGGCACGGGGCCCTCCAGATTCACGAGCACCTTGGCGCTCACCCAGCCGGCGTGCGGCGCGCCGAGCCGGCAGCGCACCGTGCCCTCCTGCTTCTCCGCGGAGAGCAGCGTCCGGGTTTCCAACACCCGGACCTCCGTCTCCGGCGCGACGACGCCCGCCTGGTCGCTGTCGAGCTCCTTGCCCCGGCGCAGGACCGCGCCCTTCTTCCCGCAGACGCGGTGGAGCACGCCCGCCGGGCCGTCGTCGTCGTCGTCGCTGTAGAGCACCTCCGGCGCCGGGCCCACCTGCTCCGCCTCCTCCTCCGGCTCCGAGTCCAGCAAGTCCTCGTCGTCGACCTCCTCCTCGACGATGAGGTCGCCCATGTCGTCGTCGCTGTCCGCCATGGTCGTCGCTGGGCTGCGGCGCGCGCCGCGGGCTGCCTCACTCACTCGATCATAGGCCACCCGAGCTGAGAGAGCTGCAACTTGCCCAAGATGCAGCTCAACGAAATCGGCGACGACTCACTCCCACCCGTCGAGTGGACCCGCCGCGCAACACCTCGCCGCCGCCGCGTCGTCATGCCGCAGTCGGCGCAGGCCGCCCCCCCGAGCGCCCTGCACGCCGCCCGGTGCCGGCACGCCGTGCGTCAAGGCCTCAAGCTTCTGGCCGTCGTGGTGTTGGCGGTCGTCGTCGGCGTCTCGGTGCTCGACCAGCGGCGGGTGTCGCAGCGCAACGTTCGGTCACACGTCTTCTCGTCGAGCCACCCTCCCGGCCACGCCCGCAGAGAAGAGACCGAGGCGCGCAAGGCCAACAAGGCGGCCGGCGATGCCGCGTTCGCGGACGACGACGACGACGACGACGACGACGACGACGACGACGACGACGACGAGCAGATGGAGCGCGCCCCGATGCCGTGGCCGACGCCCCGGCCGACGCCCGCGCCCCGGCCCGCGACGGCGCCGCCGACGCATCGGCCCACGCCCCGGCCCGCGCCCCGGCCTGCCGGCCCCGAGGAGGAGTGCTTTGCGCTCCAGGCGACGCACGGCGTCAAGCCCGCCATGACCTGGGGCACCCTGGACCGCAATCCGTCCTCGTTCCGCCGCTGGAAAGAACTCGGCTGCGGCGGCGTCGTCGAGCGGGCGGCGAACGCCGCGGCCGACGCGGCGGCCGACGCGGCGCGCGAGGTCTGCCCCAAGTCCGCAGACCCGAAGCCGCTCATCGCGGTCTGCTCCGGCACGACGACGCGCCAGAAGGGCGGCTGGATCACCCCGCGGCCCGGCCACCTCGAGGACCTCGCGGCGTTCCAGTACCTGCTGCCGTCGTTCAAGCGGACCGCCGAGTGCGGCTTCCGCTACCTCGTCGTGCTCGCCTACGACGTCGGCGACCAGTTTTGGGACCGGGGCGACGGCGTCGCCCGCGCGCGCGCGTGGTTCGAGGCGTCCATCGCGACGCCGCTCGCGGCCGCGAATATGGACGTCGAGCTCCGCTTCGTGAAGGTCGACAACGCGGTTAAAAAGCCGGGCCCCGTCTTCGCCGCGATGACGCGAGCCGCCTACGCGGCTTGGAAGGCCGACTACATCTACCGCGTCAACGACGACACGGAGTTCAAGACCAAGTGGGCGCGGCCCTTCGTCAACGCGCTCGCGTCCATGGGCAACGTCGGCGCCGTCGGCCCGCTCTGCCGCCAGGGCAACACGGCGATCCTCACGCACGACTTCACGCATCGCACGCACATGGACATCTTCGACGGCGCCTACTACCCGCCGGAGCTCAGCGACTGGTGGATGGACGACTGGATCACGGGCGTCTACGGCAGTTTGCGCACGCTCATGGGCGACCGCGTCGAGGTAATCCACCACACGGGCAAGCACGGCCAGCGCTACGCCGTCGACTTCGCCCACGAGAAGCTCGTCAAGCAGCTCATCGCCGCGGGCCACGCCCGGGTCGAATCCTTCGTCGCCGCGCGCGACGCGCCGCCCCCCGGGAACCCGCCGCCGAGCTTTCGGCGCTTCCGCCTCAAGTCGCACGGCGGCTTCCAGCGGCGGCGCCGCCTCCGAGCCGCCGGCCGCGACTCGGTCTCATAGCGCCTCCCTGTAAGTACGCCACTCGCAGAGGATATGGGTTCGCACGAATTATGTGTCCAGGCTCATGTAGGCCTCGAGCTTCGCGGAAGAAATCAGCGCGTTGACGCAGAGCCGCGCGTCGCGCCGCGTGCCGAGGAAGGCGACGAGCTCCGCGAGGTCCCAGGCCAGGACCTCGCAGGCGTCGACGGCCGTCGCCGTCGACAGGTCGGCGGCGACGTCGCCGAGGGGCGGCGGCGAGAAGGACCGGCGGCGCTTCGGCGGCGCGCGCGGCGACGCCGCCGCGGCCTCGGGCGCGGCGTCGAGGTGCTGCGCGAGCAGGTCGCCGTGGAGCAAGGACCCCGGCGGCACGATCCGCGTCGAGCCGTCCTCGGGCCGCGTCACGACCGCGGCGCCGTCGCAGAGGAGGCCCACGCGGCGGGACGGGAGCGGTTCGCCGGGCGCGAGCGCGGCCCAGGTCGGCGCGAGCGCGTCGCCCCCCGCCAGCAGCTCCGCGAGGTGCTGCGCGTCGATCTGCAACCCTCCGGCGCGCTGGAGCACGCGCGCGGCGAAGAGCTCGCGGTCGCTAAAAGGCCGCGGCGGCGCCGCACTCCGGTACCGCTCGAGCGCGAGGTACGCGCTCGCGGCGCCCGTCGCCGCCGCCTGCGCCGCGGACCAGACGAACGAGCTCCAGATGCGCGGCGGCCGAAAATAGAAGAAGCAGGCCTGGAGGGACGTGCCCAGAAAGGACACGAGGAACAGCGCGAGCATGTCGTCGATGGCAAAGCTTCCGGTGATCAGCACCTGCGACCCGTTGCCGACGACGGACGATGCGTCGAGCGCGACGCCGACCAGGAAGGCGGCGACGGCGACGCCCGCGAGGACGTGGCGCGCGCGCAGGGAGCGGCGCGCGCGGCGGTCGCGCGCGGCGTCCGCCGCGGGCCGCGTCGTCGCGGCCGCGTCGCGCGCGGCCGCCGACTCCGTGCGGCGGCGCGGCGGCGGCGCCTCGAGGGCGTCGAAGGAGAGCGTCTGGCGGTAGAGCGTCGCGCGCTCCGAGCTCTCGCCGCGCACAAAGTCGACGACGGCCCGGAGCGAGTCCGCGCGGCGGCGCCGCATCGAGCCCGCCCGCGGCCGCGCGGGCGGCGACGCCGGGGCGACCTTGCGGGCGAAGAGCCCGGCGACGAGCGCGCGGAAGCCCGTCGTCCGCCGGCCGCGCCGCGAGTCCGTCGGCACGATCGGAGGCGCCGCCGAGCTCCGCGCGACGCTCTCCTCGCGCTCCATCTTCGCGTAGAGGTCGATGGCCACGGCCTCGCGGAAGGCGTCCAGCAGCTCCGCGTCGCCCCGGAGCGCGCGCGCGAGCGCGCGCACGGGCCACGCGAGGCACGTCGCGCCCTCGGCGCCGTCCGCGCGCGCGAGTGCGACGTCGGCGACGTCGCGCGACGCCTCGCAGGGCCGCGTGCCCGCGACGGCGTGCGACAGGCTCGCCTCGCCGACGAAGGAGCCCGGGTGCGCCTGGAAGACGGCGACGCCGTCGGCGTTGAACGCGTCGACGCCTGTGGGGGGTCGCGGGTCGCCGGATGTCTCTCGAATATCACGGAGCGCGACGGTTACGCGGCTTCCCTCGAACGACGGCACGGCCGCGGGACGCCGGCCGGCGCCGCCCTCGACGACGAAGTAGAGGCGCTCGGACTCGCCGCGGTCCAGCAGCGCGACGGTGTCGCCCGGCGCGACGGTCACCCAGGCGGCGCCGCAGCGCCGCAGCACGCGCGCGATCTTCCGCGACGGCACGGCGTCGAAGCACCGCTGCGCGAGCGACAGCGCGAGCAGCTCGCGCTCGCTGAAACTCACGGGCGCCGCGTCGAGGTAGAAGAGCTTGACGACTTGCGTGGCGTTGATGCACGCCTGCAGAAAGTCCCAGAACGCGAAGATGAGCACCGGCGGCCGCTGGAGCAGGAAGAACACGACCTGCGACACGGCGGACGCCAGCGCCACGGGCTGCAGCCGATACGGGTTCACGAAGAAGTAGACCAGCAGCGCGCTGCCCTGCGATGCATTGCCCAGCACCGCGTCCCACAGCGGCGGGAGGATGGGGCTCATCTACGGAATTACCACAGCATCATCGCAAAATCGGACAGCACCTCGACGGCACCTAAGCGCGTTGAACTCTGCAACGCGGTGCGAAGACTGCTCGCGCGCGCACGCATGCATGGGCGGTTCTTGCGCGCGGGCGCGCGCGCCGGCCGGCTGGCCGTGCGGCCGCGCGGCGGCGGCCACCATCGATCGGCGTGCGCCGCCTCCTTCCAGGTCGCAGTGGCGCCGCACTTCGAGCCCGTGGTGACGCCCGCGACGCTCTCGGCGCTGGCGACCACCGCTCGATGCGTCGGCGTCGGCGAGGAAGGTGCGCACCCGCGCGCGCGCGCGGGCGTCGCTCTTTTTCTTTTGACGCGCGCGATCGCCGCAGGCGCGTCCGCGGTGACGGCCGTCGGCGTCGGCGGCGACGACGACGACGGACGCTAGCATCGGGCCGCGCCTG